TATATATATATATATAAAGCAAATTGCAAAAATTTAAAATGTGCACTTTGAATAATTCATATTTGAGACTATATCAAATCATTATCAAATAATCTTCAAGCTAACTTTGAATATTGATTGAACCAGGATTTAACTTTGATCAAATAATCTTTAGAGCACCTTTGAACCATAATTGAATAAATATCACACTATAATCAAATCATCTTTTAACCATCATTTATCAAGATCAAATAATGTTCATACTAGTTTTGAATATTTGTTAAATTATGATCAACCCATCCTCAAAACATTATTGATCACGAGCAAATATTATTTGAACCACTTACATATATGAATTGAATATTAATAAAATCATGATAAAATCATTATCTATTTTAAATATTATTTAGAATATTTAAAGATATTTTAAGCATAGTTTAAATATTGTTTAATGATTATTCTATCATGATTGGTGGAGTTTAGAAGATGGTTCAATCATCAAACAATCATTATTTTGAATAGTGATTAGTCCTCAATCAATGGTCCACCTTAAAACCTTCATGTTAACATTTTCAATAAACTAAACCGTCTGAGAGAAGACAGGAGCATAATCCACTTCCCTTAGTCTTTTTCCTAACATGTTTAGAATCTTATACTAACCACTTTATGTAAATTTTCATAATATTGGGAGGTCAATTGGATTTATTTTATTTTTTTTGGAATGAAAAATGTAAATAAAAATTCAAATAATAAAAAATAAAAACATTCAATAAATCACAAAATTTATCATGAACACATTTGAAGTCACTTCTAACCTTCCCAATAAGTTTCTCAAATATTTGAATCAATTTAAATAAAAATATTCATATTAATTGAAAATTATAAATAAAGCAAATTTTAATAATAAATAATTTCTAACAAAATCATAAAAATACAAAATTATTAAATATTAACTTACATTTTATTTTATGAGATTCTAAATCATTTATTTCAGTCATTTTGTGTATTTTATAAGACTTGTATATTCATTATAGCCATATAAATATAAAGAGTAATTTTTTGAATAAATACAACAAACACTCAAAACAAAAATCAACAAAAATTAATAAATCACACCAAAACAATGAATACTTAATCAAACCATATTTTCATAAAACTTAAATATTAAATTAAATTTTAACTCAAAAACTAAATCCTAATATTTTTACTTACCGCACATACCACACACACGTAACTTTCTTAGGTCACCGATCTTAGATCTTAGTAGGACAATTGTAATAGTGATTGCAATTGTTACAATTTGTTTATGTGATTGTTTTGTTTATTGTGTTTGTCTGCTAGGGTAAATATTAGAGTGGTTTTACAGTAGGCTAAATGATGGGTGACTCTGTTGGCTACTTATTTTTTGTAGGAAGTCATATTTAGTGGGGCAACCTCAGAAGATCTCATACATTTTAATAGTTTAACCCCAAATCGTCCTACTTATAGCATCGCTTGATGATCCATATACCGCTATATTTCAAATATCCCCGGTTGCCAACAAGGGTCAAAATACTATATGCAAGACTCATACTCTTGAGTATTGGGTTTTATTGTATGTTAAGTGGTGACAGGATAGTTTCCACTAATGTGTTTGTTAATTTAAAGGGTCTGGATCATATATTAGTGAGTTCTTATGTTTTGAGGATGATTTTCTTCAACAAATCCTAGTAAGCTTGAATGTTTTATGAAATATCTAGAATCTTGTCAAGGTGTTCAGAGGGTAACTTTGAATGAACTTTAAAATCTCATGGATTATTTCAAGTTCATTTGGCCTTACTTTGTTGTTATGTTGATCATCCCATGTTGAATATGAAGTTGTATTATTATGCCTTAAACTATGCTCAATGTAGCCTTATTGATATCTTAATTATCCCATGAGTAAGGCAAATGACCAATTTATAATGTCATATTGCGAGTTATGCAAGTAAGCACCCAAGGGGGTATGCTTATGGCCATTAAAGAATATTCCACTCATTTCCCCTTAATTGGGCTTGAGCTTTTAGTGTTTTAAGATGTTTCATTATCACTTATATTTTATCCTTTAACTACTCCTCAAATAATATTAAATTAACCCTTACTCACTATCATGCTCTCAGGGCTTAGGGATAAACTTGTAATTTTTGGAAAGTTTTGTAAGGTGTGTTTGATCTTTATTAAAAGGATTGAATTTTGCTTGGCCATGGGTTGAGGGTTCAAATCAGTTGTTTATTGATCCACTAACTCATGCCCCCCACTCTTGAATCATTGAAATTCTTATTTATTCCAATGTATAACAATTCAAATAATTACCACAAATAACACCAGACTTAAACCTCATAAGCATGAAAGAAAATTAGCTACTCGACATGCTTTGTAAAATCCTAAAATGAATTATCAAAAACAAAAAAAATCAATGCATAAGTGAAGATAAACTACTTTCAAAGCTTTGTCCCTCTCCACAAAATTAGTTTACCTTTTCCTACAATGATCTCGCTCCCACAGTACTCGTTAATAAATCCAAACTTACAATACATCGTGGTTCTCCTAACTTACAATACATCATCGTTGTATAACAAAATCCTAAATTACAACATCTTTGAAACACATAAATAAATCAGAAGAGATAAACATCCTTAAAGGTTTGCTCCCTTGAGGAAGAAGGAAGACTCTCAATCCTCTCTAAAATCCTAGCCTTCAGTCGCCTCCTGATGTCTCCCATCAATTAGAAGCATGTATTTATAGCCATCGCCAACTCTCCTCCAAATGCAATAAATCTTCCCAAATTTATAATCTATGAATTGGACGCACCCGCGCCTATTCCTGTTTTGGGTGTATTGAGCCCTGATTGGGACTAGTGGGGGTGCACTGAACAAATGACACTGGTGCACTTTTGAAGGAAGAAGCATGTGTGGATGCACCGAATTCTGAGTTTTTGGCAAGGCACGAGTGCACTGGGTGTTTGGTGCAAGCACGCCTTGGTTTCGACACGAGCACACCATGCTCTAGCTTGCAAATATCTAGAAAGCAGACAAGGGCGCAGATGCTCCCCGTTTTTCAACCTAGCATAAGTGCTCTCCAACATAGGTGCGAGTGAGCTGGCACAACTTTCCTCTTCACGCTCTAAATTCACCTATTTTTTCCCCCAACTAGTTTAATTCATGTAATCTGCACAACATAACAAAAAATATTTTTTGCAAGCATCATAAGGTGGTAAAATATGCAAGAAATACAAATTAAGTGCCAGAAATGTGTGTGTGCTTTCTTTATATCGTTTTTTATTGTTGCCTAAATAACGAATTATGACCTACGTGGTCCATATCTCATGCAATTCCCAACTCTGACCTCTATGTTCTATGAATTTTAATACTGTTTGCCACTATGGTCTACCTGACCAACTATTATCTACATGGTTCATAGCTCATGCAACTCCCAACTTCAACTTATATGACCTACGTATGTTATTATAGCCAACCATTATGACCTACATGACCAACTACGATCTATGTGGTTTATAACTCATGCATCTCCCAACTTTGACCTCTGTGGACTACAAACATTATTGTAGTTCATCACTATGTTCTATGTGACAAACTATGACCTACTTGGTCCATAGCTCATGCATCTCCCAACACCATCTTGCGTGGCGTACATGCGTTATTGCGGTTCACCACAATGACATACGTGACCAACTACAACTTTCGTGATCCACAACTCATGCAACTCCCAACTTTAGTCTATATGACATACAGATGTTATTGTAGCTCACCGCTATAGCTAACGTGACCAAGTACAACCCGCGTGGTTAAAAACTCATGCAAATCACAATCCCGACCCTTGTGACTTATTAATGTTATCGTAGCTCACCGCCTTGGGCTATGTGACCAACTACAATCTATGTGGCTCACAACAGCCCCCTCCTACAACCCCTTTGGTCAACTAACACTCATGAAACAACCATGTACGATCTAGATGACCAACTACTACCAATACATTTAACTACAACTTCTACAACCAGTTGAAGTTACAACCACCTCTTACAACATTCATGGATGACTACTGACTTCATTACAATCGCTAAGGCCTTTGAATCACGTTACAACTATTATTGCTAAATCACCATTGTACATCAACATTGTAATTCCATCTTCTCTAATTTAAGAGAAAAGTGAGTTTATGTTCTTACAATTATACAGTGAATTATTTATTCATGATTTTTCTACTGTTCAATATTTTTTATTTAAAAAATGTTGGCATCCCATCGTGCTTATTTCTCTTTTATCCGAATATTTGTCCAACGGTAATTCCATCTTCTCTAATTTAAGAGAAAAGTGAGCTTATGTTCTTACAATTATACAGTGAATTATTTTTTCATGATTTTTCCACTGTTCAATATTTTTTATTTAAAAAATCTTGGCATCCCATCGTGCTTAATTCTCTTTTATCCGAATATTTGTCCAACACTATGCCACTAAATTATTACTCTACCGCTGTGAATCTTCCAGTAGACAACAATCAATTAATTCTCATATTTAAAAAATTCTCTTTAATGTGTATGATAAATTTATTTATGGTAAAGTTATCCCATTTAAATTATGATTTTTTGGTTTCTAGTTGTATATCATTTGGGAAGTATTTAGGCTCATGCTTCACATATACATAGTTGGAATGCATTTAAGGCTAGATGTTATGTATCAAATTTGAGGTATTCATTAAATGAGTTATTGTATTATCTAATTCTAAATTCATTTTAGTGGATAATACAACATGTATTAGTGAATTTATATATTGTAATGATCTTATTGGTGAATATAACTTTTTCAAATTTATTTATATTTTTGAGAATTTTTTTAAATTTTAATGTCGCATTATTTTTTATTTACAATTTTTACGTATAATTACATACTTAGAACTCGAAATATTGTTATTTATAAAATCTAGCAGTTAAGCGATTTTTTAGAACAACCGATCTGATGTATTTACACGTGTCATGATCAAATCATTGAGAATTTAATAAAAATAGAAAATATGGGTACAAGTTTTATCATGAATTTTGATATTTGAGCGAGAGTTTGAAAAATAGTTGAAAGTTGGCGGTAGATTCGTAAATAAAAAAATGTTCCTGATGCTAAGCATGTAATTGTCCCTTTGTATATTACAATATGATACAATATTATGTTATTAAATGATAACTACATATTTAAATAATAAATTTACAAACAACTGTTATGCACTATTAAATGATATTTAATTATTCCTATCTCTTAAATTTGCAAAATATGAATATTTAAAAAAAAATTAATATTATTGAATAAATAAAACAAATACTTTATAATATTGACATCTTAATGGAACAATAAAAAAAATACTTTAATAATTTAAATACTTATTAAGTAAAAATGCATTTACATACATAACACCCAACTCCCATGTATTTACATAACAAGCACTTAAATTTTATTTTTGCATTTGTACCACCCAGTTTTTTCATATCATAAATTAACTTTAAAAAATGAAATACACTTTTTTTTTTTGCGTAGATATGATAATATGTATGTAAAAAATTAAAGTTTAGATATTATATATATAAATATTTAAGAAATAAGTGCTATGTATCTACTTAGAATTGTCATATTATACAATTGTAGAGATTTATAAAAAAAAAAGTATATGAAAAAAATAGCATTGTTGTAATAATATTTAGATCTAAATAACGAGAAATATTTGCGTGCGTCTAACGTACGTAGAGCTGCGTATGTCTGTATGTTATAAGGATAATATTGAAGAATTATATCTGCATTATACCTTATGTAATATCTCTGTAACCGGCATATAACTTACAAATATATAAAAATGAAAGCAGGGAACTTACTAATTATATATAAGTTACAGAAATTATAGGAAATACAATGCGAATATAAACACCCAATACCCTCTCCATTTCGAATGAAAGCAGGGAACTTACTAATTATATATAAGTTATAGAAATTATAGGAAATACAATGCGAACATAAACACCCAATACCCTCTCCATTTCGAAAAAATATTACATCAGTACTACGCACGTAGAGTAACGTGCGTAGTCAATGAAATCACGCCACGACACCCCACACGACAGAGAGAAAAAAACGACACAGTAACACGAGAAATATTCCCTTTCGTGTTATTTATGTGTTATTGTGTGCCCACGACACCCCACACGACAGAGAGAAAAAAACGACGCAGTAACACGAGAAATATTCCCTCCCCTGTTATTCATGTGTTATTGTGTGTTATTCACGTGTTATTGTGTCCTGAGAATATTCCTGGTGTTATAATAACACAATAACACATCAATAACACATGAATAACACACAATAACACATGAATAACACTGGGTAGAATATTCATGTGTTATTGTGTGCTATTCATGTGTTACTGCGCCGTTTTTTTCTCTGTCGGGAATATTTCCCGTGTTATTCATGTATTATTGTGTTATTCATGTGTTATTGCGTGTTATTCATGTGTTATTGTTATCATGTGTTATTGATATATTATTGTGTTATTATAACACCAAAAATATTCTCAGGACACAATAACACATGAATAACATAGGAGAGAATATTCTCCGTGTTACTACACCGTTTTTTTTCTCTATCGCGCGAGATATCATGACGTGATTTCATTGACTACGCACATTACTTCTAGGTGCGAAGTATGTAATATTTTTCCCCCTATTTCTACTAAATAACAGCGAATAATTTTTTAGATTATTCTGGTTAAATGCAATGGTCTAGAGGAACTGAGAACTGGAGAGATTCCAATTGGCAGGGTACTCCAAACTCCGACCATCTTATATCTTATATGGAATATACGTAGTTCCGGCCAATATATCCCTTGACCTGCACGCCATCATCAACCTTCAGGATCAAAGAGGAGCATTCATTCGAAGGGTTGCGCAAGTAATTCGCTCTCGACATCCTCAGTTTCAATTTCGGGTTTGTGGATCTTGCAAGCGTTTTTGTTGAGAAAATGAAGGAAAAAATGATTCTCTTTTCTCCCTGTATTCTCTAAACATTTCAATCATGTGGCAAATGTACTCTTGTCTATGATGTGCTGCTTGTAGATTCTGTTCTCTGAACGAATGATAAAGATTAGGAGCTTTTCTCCAACCTTTTCCTTTCTTCTTAGGTTGTGTCCATCTCTTGCTCTAGTTAATGACACGGGCGATCATTTGACGCGTGTTTCTTTGCAGGGAGTGCTGCGATTTTGGTGCTGGTAATATGAGTCTTAAAAGCAGTTCTCTGGTTTCTGGTTAGGTTTTTTGCCTTTTTATTACGCACTATCTAGGGGTTTCTTGTTCTTATAGGTTTGATTTGTTTGTGTATTTTAGTTTCGATGCTTTAGTAGATTGAAATGATTGAATGCAGCTTCTAAGGCCAGTGGCGCGGCACTTGAGTTTGGGAGAACTCATGTGGTCAGGCCAAAGGGAAAACATCAGGCCACGATTGTTTGGCTTCATGGTCTAGGGGATAATGGAGCGAGGTAAAGATCTTACATTTATGTTTCTCTCTTTCACTGCTTTCATTCTTTTTTTAGCTTTCCTTGCATTCTTACAAATTATGATGCTGTCGATCACATGCCATTTTTTTTCTTTTTAAGAGTATTTTTAGTCTTTTTTATCTGTTTCGTCTTCGTGTTTAACTTGATTATTTCATGAGATATTTCATCTTTAGCTTTTGAGTTTGAGCTTGGATTTAAGAGGGGTTGTTTACTCTCCATGAGTTGCCTTAATTATGTAGTTTTATAACTGTGTAAGTCAATTTTCTTTAAAAATGAGATTTAAATCTATGCTTCTCCTCTGTCAAATAAGGCCTTTTCTGTTTAGAAAGTTGCAACCTTTGAGTTTGAAGACTTGAAAAATGTTTTTGCGGGTAACAATGGTTGTTCTTGAATGATCACTACTCCCTGATAGGAAGTTATTTACTTATGCTTAAATGTGAAATGACTTGTAATATTGTAAGTTGAATGAATGAGTTATATCATTCACAAGATAAGGGTTGTGCTCATTTCTTTACATTTATCTTTTCTAACGTGATTAACTTTTATCATGTTAAAAGAAAAAAAAAGAAGACTTATATCCTGTTTCAATCCAAATGTAACTTATTTCTCTGTTTTTTCCTGGTGTATTTTTCTAGTGTTCTAGCAAGTATATGACTGGATAATGAAGGTTTTTGTTCAACGATGCAAGTGAAGTATGATTTTTTGCTAAGTAATGATGATCTAAAATGGGTATCACTTTTTCTTTTGCTAAATAATTATTGCTAAGGTAACTTCCCCGGAAAGCGCTTTATGAATTTTAGCTTTCTTATCTAAATAATGAACTGATTATTAAAACCACATATATATCAGTTAAGATTAGGATATCATATTATAATTTTATGAAATTCACAATAACATACATCTTTGTCATTCAATCAATTCCCATCCATGTCAAAGTTTTTGTAATAAACAGCTAATTGTTAGCGCACTTTGAGTTTGGGCAACAAGCTAAATATGGTTTTACCAAAAAAATTGTTTCACTTGATACATTTCACACTGCAGCACAACACAACACCAGGCGGCAATGCCAATTGCTGTATATTCTTCATCTTCTTCAAACTTAGACCACTCTTGCAATTTTGAGTTGAATATCTCACCAAAACATTCATGAGATAACAGTTTACATCTATATTCAATTTGTATTTGAGAATGCGGTGTTCTTCTTGTATTGGCTCTGATTATTGAACTGTAGTTTTATCTCTACTGATTCACCTCCAGATGTTTTTTGTATTTGTTTCAGTAATGTAAAATACTCTCAAAGGTTATAACATTCTCCCAACCTTGAATCGTGGTGCTTTTGCAACTAGGTTCTTTTGCAAGCTAGGAAAGCCATTGTTGATGCCTTAAAGTAATATAGTTAATGAAAACTAAGTGCACTTCAGATGCCTTGTTATCGAATTTTGTCATTTGCCATCTGACTTCAACATTCATCTTTTGCACATGATTTTATTTTATTTTCTTATATTTTGTTCTTAAAGAAGACATCTTCTGCATTTCGTGAGATTAAAACTTGTTCACTTTTACTAAATGTCGTGTTATCAATTTTGTATCATATTCCAATTTGTTCCATTAAAAAAAAAAAAACTTGCGAAGAACCTTGTTGACACTAATATAGTCTCTAGAAAATTTGAAAGCTATGCACCTGCTGCTCAAACTCTTAGTGAGGAAACTCATTGAATTGCTAGTTTGTTCTTTTGTTGAGTTCATGTTGAAAGTTTCAGACATGTGTTTCTGAGTGGCTAACTTCTTACTTTCTTGTCTTTCAGCTGGTCCCAGCTTTTGGAAACTCTTCCTTTGCCAAATGTAAGAATTGGCTTTAGTTTGTAATGAAGCTATTACTCTTTTTATGAATACGAGGAAGCAATTTCCACTCATCTCCTTCTTATAGTTACTACATGAGGTTAATGATTATGAACATTAATGTTTACTTGTGGCTTAAACTTTTAAAATTTATCTCAATATGTAGATAAAATGGATTTGTCCAACTGCCCCTGTTAGACCTGTATCAGTTTTTGGTGGATTTCCTTCAACTGCATGTAAGTTTAGTTATGCGTCCATGACTTTTCTGGACTTCTATATTAAAACACATCAAAATGTATTATTTTGTCTTATTTTTTATTCTTTTGTTGCTTCAATCGACTACCTTTTCCAACATTTGGCGTGTCTTTAGGGTTTGATGTGGCGGATTTATCAGAGGATGCCCCAGATGACATAGAGGGCATGGATGCCTCAGCTGCTCATGTAGCAAAACTTTTGTCAGCTGAACCTACAGATAGTATGTTCACAAGAAAATCCATGCTTATATTTTATATCATCTTGCTTATCAAAATTAAATAGTTTGATTTGATGCAACTATTTTGTTTAGGAATTTTTTTTTTTCATTCGATCATCATAATTGCCTATTTCAACTGCAACAAGAACGGTATATTGTTCTCCATTTTTAAGTATGCAATGAGAAGTGTTCGAAAAGACTTTTCATGAGGACTTGGAAGCAGGTTTTGATTGTAGTAGAAATATAAATGCTAAGATGTTTGGCAAAAGTAGGAAGCTTACATATGGATTATTTTCATTAGAGAAATGATTGGAGTTATGCCTATTGAAGATGAAGTTATTACAAGTAGATTTTTGATAGTTTGGACATGCACAATGAAGGGTAAATAGTATTAATGGAATTGATGACAGAAATCAATGAACCTAAAATAACATAGATAACTGTTTAAAATTATTTGTGATTAATTGATTCAGCAGCTTAGGCAACACCCTCAAAAAACAAATGCAAAATGAGGATTCATAATGCCGGACCCGAATGGTTGGGTTAAGGGTAATGATGATGATAATTTTGATATAGCACATATCATCTCACTTTAGAAAGGCTACTAGATGCACATATTCTTATCGGCATGTCTCATAGATTTTGTGATTATTTTTATCACATTCCATTGGCTTTGCTATTTTTAATCTTTCTATTAATTTGCTTGCTGCTTGCATTAAAAATTATTTGTGACCTCATATGTCTTGATTGGTCATCACAGTTAAGCTTGGTCTTGGTGGCTTTAGTATGGGTTCGGCAACTGCTTTTTACTCGGCAACTTGCAGTGCTCATGGAAGATATGGAAATGGAAATCCATATCCAGTGATTCTAAGTGCAGTTGTTGGATTGAGTGGCTGGCTTCCATGTTCCAGGTTTGTGCCTTTACCCAGGTTAAATATTAAATCTACCTATTCTACTCAGCATTGTTATTTTGTTTTCACTTATAATTTAAATATGCTAAGCCAATTCCAATTACTGTGCTTCCATTTGTAGAAGCTTGAAGAACAAGATAGAAGGATCAGCACAAGCTGCGGAACGTGCTGCTTCAATGCCTATATTGCTTTGCCATGGAAAAGGTATTTTTTACCCACATTCAAACTGTGATGCACATCCTACAATATGCTCCATGCTCTTTTAATCTTTTTTCCTTTTGTCGATTATGATTATAGCACCAGTTTTTGTCCTTCCAGAAGTACCTGGAAATTATGAAAGTAACATGCACTATACCAGTTACTGTCTATTGAGTGTTATAGTAAAAGTTGCTAAAAAGAAAGTGAGTGATAAAAAGTACTCAAAAAGAGATGCCAAAACTTATTAAAGAAACAAATAAAGCTCGAAGGGTGAAGAGAAAAAGAGGGGGTAGAGAGGCAGGTGTTAGTGAATCTCTTATAGAGGAAATCCTCACGGGATTAGGGTGTATTTATAGCTACACCTCAAGCTTGAAAGGTGCAGAGAAACAATTTCCTAAGAAACAATTTCTTGAGACAATCCTAAATCAGATCGGCTAGGGGAAAAGACAACATAGAGGAGTAGAATAGAGAAGAAAGAATTTATTAAGTAGGTGATTTGGATTATCTTTGTAATAAAGGAGTAGAATATATTTATTGCTAAACCTTATGGCAATTTTATAAATAGAAAATCACATAAATAGCTCCCAAAACAAATGATACACACACACGCGCGTAGGAGGATGTCCATTATTATCCCATTTAAATTTTTTTTTGCGTGTTTCATTTTAAAGTTAAAGTCATCCAATCTCTATAACAAAATTAAAGTAGTACCAGAAATGATTTTACACATTTTATTGAATATTTGAAAACTTATTGGAAGAATAAAAATTTCTCCACACATTCACGTGAGAAGGGAATCATGGTTTTCATAGCAGTTTAAAGAATAACTTAGAATTTAAATTGCTCATGCCATTTATAGCAAATTGAATTTTTTTTTTTTTTGTTGATGAATAGCCATTGAAGTTTGTTTAATAGGCTTTTATATGTCATTCAATTATCTTTATTTTATAACTTATGTATGAATTTATAACTATAAGGCACATAAGGCACAATATGTAATCTATGAATTTATAATTATAAGAGGAATTTAAATTTAAATTATTTAAAAAAGATGACCATAAGAATGACTTTAAACTGCTCATGTCATTTATAGCAAGTTCATTTTTTTCTTTGATGGAAGTTTGTTTAATAGGCCTTTATATGTTATTCAATTATCTTTATTTTATACGCAATCTATGAATTTATAAGTATAATACACATAATGCACAATATGCAATCTATGAATTTATAATTATAAGATAGATTTAAATTTAAATTATTTAAAAAAGATGGCCATAAGCAGGTAATAAATAAGTTTCATCTGATTTTTCTATAGTTGAATTTAAGTTTATTTATAGGTAGGGTGTAAACTAGCCGAGCACGTGCGAGCTTAGGCTCGACTCGTGTTCGACTCTTTAAAAAATATTACTATTTGTGCTCAGCTCATTTATATAGCGAGCTTAAAAAAATTGTTTGTGTTCGATTCGTTTGCTTATCAAGCCGAACATGAGCTGCTCGCGAACAACAAGTCATTTTGACAGCCTTAGTCACACAATCGTATGATGTTAAGGATAGAAACTAGATTTAAATTTTATTATTTATATTAAAATATTCATTTAAATAGAATTTTAATATTTTTTTATTCAAATTTTTTAATTAATAATTTTAATGGATTATAAATCTTTGTAGTGTTTTAAATTAAATTATTTAAAAATAATGCTAATCAAATTATACATATATAATCTAATTATATAATCTAATTTTATTGAGCCAAAGCGAGCATAACACGTGCAAACAAACCTTTGTTCATGTTCGGCTTGTTTATATAGCGAGTGCAAAATATTGTTTGTGTTTGACTCGTTTGCTTAATGAACGAATCGAACACGAGCTACTTAACGAGCCAAATACAAGCTATTCAGAACAATGAGCCATTTTGACATCCCTATTTATTGGTTATTAATTTTATATAAAGATATTTTATTCTAAGTGCCTAATTGTGTAAGTGATATTCCAGACAAACACAAATAATAAAAAAATTCATAAAATTATGTGATGCATTAAATAAATACTCAAATAAAGAATAAATAGTAAATGACCAATTACCACTGTTCTGCAGTACACTTCAATAGAAATAAAAAACAAATGTTCGGGCTCTGGATTACACAACCCATTCATAAATTTATATAAAAATATATATTTTAATCTGAGATAATTCATTAGCTAAGTTCTGTTATTCCTCGCCTTCATTTGATTTTGGTCTTAATGCTCCATTAGAACTAATGCTTAGATCTTAGCTTCACGCAAACTTTTTAAACCTAAAGATTTCATATCAAAGCATAAAAGATCATAGACCTAACTTTGCAAAGTAGAGGATAGTATTTGTAGGTGTAAATATATCATGTGACATATAATAGATCATGTCCAATGAAAATGTGAGCTAGCAATGCTCCTACAGAAAAAGCACAACATGCATAACTTATTTATTTACATTCTCTTCCTTTATGGACATGATATCTGCAGAAAATTGCATCTATAACTAGTTTTTTTGGTGCGCATAGGTATCATAATAAAGACAACAAAAATAGATCATAAAGTATGCAACTAGATTAGATAATACACACCATAATTTTTGCATAATTTAAATTCTACATTCTACCATAATTAAACAAGCAACTATGATTGTACCTATCATAATATCTAATGCACGCAACTCGATGTGGCTGAAGGGCTACTCATCTGATCTTAATAGGGCTATTAGATCTGGTATCATTGTAAATATTCAAGTAAACTAGAATATATCATCATTACATGATAATTTTAAATTTTTAAAATTTACATAAGAATGGATATATTTTTAGATGATGTTAAGAAATGATGTATCTTAGACCACAGTTCAGATCCTATATTTAAAAATCACAACTGTTGAGATACTTCCAACATAAGACTGTGTGCTGACATGATATACTTGCCTAAATGGTTATTGACATACTTAGACGAGATGCAAAACCTATGTGATTCAGTTGACCATTGTTCCCGGTGACCTTCAAGTAAGCTAACCTAGTTAAAAAATGCAATTATATGGCTAGATAATGTCAGCTCACCTAGATTTAGATAAGGGCTAAACTAATATGATAAGCCTAAACCTTAATAAGGACCACTTAAATAGATATGGTGAACCTTAATGTTAGCTTTGAGAATATAATATGCATTAATCATTCAAATGAATTATGCTCATATAAAGGTTAAGGGGTGTCAAATGATTGAATATGGGTTCAATCACTCGAATGATACATGAATATATGCATGCATCATAATGGCATGATATGTATATGCATGATTTGAGCAAACATGTCTTACTCAATAGGTTCGACCAACTACTTGGATGTGGTCATAAATATGGCATGATTCCTTGACACTTGAACATCTTCCTAATATATTAGAACATAGAGTCGTCAAATCCTAGGGTTCAACACAGCATGGTCAGGAGGACCATGAAATTCTGAATGACTTGAGTCCATTAAGCAATCTACTGGTATGCGTGCTTATGCACAACTCATATTATCTACAATAATCTATAAGGAAAATGATTATCTTGATAAACCTGACCAGTCTAAAGCGATTTATATGATCACCTCGACTCAATAAATGATATGATATTGTGTGTAAGACTAACGCCCAAAACCTTTTAGAGTTGTGTGTGTGTGTGTGTGTGTGTGTGTATATATATCTCACCATTTGGAAGATGTGTGTGTGTGTGTGTGTGTGTGTGTGTATCTCACCATTTGGAATATCTCACCATTTGGAAGCCAAGTTAAAGATTACACGATTTTTTTTTCTTATTTTCTTGGAATTCCAAATGAGAGATCTTGGTTTTTGAAGTTCTGAACGTTTATTTAAAATCATATTTTTCTGCTTAAACAGTCAGCAGTGGTGTCCATGATATTAATCTTACATGGCACTATAGGATTAGTTGGTAGCTTGAACTAAAGAAGACACCATCCTATCTTAATTTGCCTCATCAAATATTGGTTAGTGGATCTAGATCCAATAGCCAACAGCTCGTCTTCAACCTCCATAGGTCAAGATGATAAAAAAAAAGCCAAAAATGGGAGAGCCAGTGGGATTCTCTTCTGAGTGATTCCTCAAATAATTTCAATAATTTTAAATGCTAAAACAATCTACATGGAGATGGGGATCGTGGGGTGGAATTAAAATAGAGGGTATAGAGTGTGTGCACCGTACAATCAGGAAAATAGCCTTAAGATCTGGTTGCATGCCTACAAAGGTGTAGAGAAAGCCTCAATTTGAGGCTTGATTTAGCTTGACCGACTTCATGCAAGCTGCGACAATGTCTGTTTGTCTCTAAGTGCTCTTACTTGTTTTTTAGCCAGAGTTCTAGCAAACCCCTAACGCCCTTGGCCAGCTTGGTAACTCCTCGATCAAATAGGATGACGACATGTGATGCGCATGTTGCTCTTAAGAACTAAGAAAAAAGGTCCTTACAGAAAATAAAAAAAGAGTGTCCCCTACCCTATCTGAATTGTTCTTTAGCTTCCAAAGTTTAACTTGTCAGCTCAATTCATGGGGGGCAAGTGTCCATGGCTTCTCCATCTGTTGTTTTCTATGGAAGATTCACAAAGGAAATTTGGCCTCACGTAGGCTTAAAAGGAGTAGCTACACACACATACGTGCCCGCGCGCGCACGCACACACACAAATATATATATCAACAAACCAAGGCATGAAACCAACCACTTCATCAAGTTAATATAGGCCAACTCGACAAATTAACTTGACTAAGGGACCAGACAGAGGCAGTTCACGTCAAAGTTAAATAGTAAGGAGCGATTAAAGTGATTCAGTCGATCCGTTTGAGAAACATGCTTGACAATGGAGGTAAGACAAATTCAAAACCATACTCTAGTTCAATTGAATGAACTCGCCTACTTACCACAATGCCGACTGGGCCAACAAAGTTTATCAAGGACAATCTATTGCCATAAAGGCAATTTTGAAAGAAGTGATAAT